CCTGCCATCACAGTCGTGAAGGCATTGGTCTTGGTCACCGTGAGGTTGGTACTGCAACCCACAGGCGTCGAGACGGAGGCCGCATTGTTCGCCGGCGTGACATCACCCAGCGTGGTCGTGGTGACATTGGCGGTGTTGACCTGCGGGCCGGGGCAGGCGGGGAAGGACACGGTGATCGAGGCCGTGACTGATGCCAGGCTGGTATTGGTGTTCCATGGGAAGTCGGCATTGCTTGCCGAGCATGTGAAGCTGGCGCTTCCTGGGCCGGTACTGCAGGTCCAGTTCACGTCGCTGGCGACCACTGCCGTGACGGACATGCCTGGCGGCATGGTGTCTGTCAGCACAGGCGATCCGACAATCACCGTCGCCGACTGGCTGGTGGCCTGTGTATTGTTGTAGATCTGGTGCGTGATGGTTCGCCCCACATTGCGTACGCTGACGACGTAGCGCGAACCCGGAATACCCAGGGTGAATGTGGTGGTGCTGAGGGTTTTGACGGCTGTGAGGTCGGGCAGAAGGTTGACGTCTTCCGTGGTCGGGCCGCCCTCCAGTCCACTGTAGTTGCTGCCGCCCACGTTGGTCGTACCCCCGCTGCCGTATGTGGTCTGGCTGTAGGAAACCCCACCCCGGTTGGCATTGACATTCGTTGCAGGGCTGACCATGCGCACGGCAGTGGTGGTGCGGGTGGGATCGAGAAAACTCACCCCGGCCGGGTTGTGATAGGTGCCGACAGTGGATGTGTTGCTGATATTGACCGTGAAGTTGATGGTCAGGCTGCCTTCGCTGGGCAGGTAGAAGCTGCCGAATGTCGGTGTGTTGTCGCCTGTGGCGGGCACATCGCCCGGTGCGGTAGCTGCGGCACGCAGGCTGACTGTAGTGATCGAATTGGCGGCGATAAAAGTATTGACCGGAAATGCACCAGGCAATGCGGGAACGGCCGTATGTGCACCTGCAAATCCGGCATTGAGGATGGGCGCCCCGCCGGTAGGTGAGGGATCGTACTGATAAGTTGGCGCAACCGCTGCGGTGTAGCTCCAGGTCTTGGGCAGGGAGGCGTCAAAAACAAAGATGTTCGAAGCGCCACCTCCGGAGTTGGTCAGGTTGATGCTGTACCTTGCCTGCGCGCCGGTTGTGGCCGTCACGTTGGGCGTGCTGGTACTTTTGGTGACCGCGATGTTGGGCAGGCAGGTGCCGCCACCGCCGCCCAGACCGGAAGGCGTGCCAGTTGTGTTGGTCACGACTCCGTC